TTCTTTTGCTTCGCAGGGAATAAACTAAGTGAGGAAGTACTACGGAGTATTTTGGAGTCAATAATGTGAAGAAAACGCCCAACCAAGAAGTACCCGAGCATAAAGAAGCAAAAAATGGACTGAGGTGAAATCCACCGCGACCGCGATGGGACCGCACCAGATCAAGTACTCGAGGCAGAATGTTCTGTGTTCACCGCGGTCTTGCCGCGACCGCGGTGAACTGTTCACGTACCAGAAAATTGGGGACCAAAGTGTAATTCGGGAAAAACTTGTTTCAAACCCTTATAAACTTTAGAAGCTCGCCCAAGACATGTTTTAAGCTTATTTTCAGACTACTTTGAAGGCAAGAACAAGTGTGAGAAGAGTAACCAAACATTAGAGTTTTCTATCATCNGTTTTCAGACTACTTTGAAGGCAAGAACAAGTGTGAGAAGAGTAACCAAACATTAGAGTTCTTCTATCTTCTCTTTATAATTGCAATTACCCATTATCAATAATTTAGTAATTTTATCTTGTTTTGTCATGAGTAGCTAATTTCCTAGTCTAGGATTTTGATGGAACCTATTGAAGGATGAACTTCTTGTTATGTTAATATAGTTTGCCCAGTTTAATCTCTACTTGTTCAACTATGTGCTTGTTGTAGTTAATTGACAGGATCCTCAATTAGATGTGCCTATTTAGTGTGCATAACTCGGGAGAGAGTGCATATTTAGGTAATTGTTGAACAACACCACTCCCAAAGTATATGAGGGATCAATAACCGAGGGTTTAAAGGCGGTATTAGGGATAACGAAGCCTTGGTTGCTATCTAAAGTGAGCTGTAAGAAATAAAGCCAGCTAGCGCAACTCGGGAGAGTACGTTTAGTAAATTGTCGTGATTACTCGGGAGAGATTTACGATAATAAGAGTGCTAATGATTGATAGAGATTATTTGGTGAATCTATGTGAAATATAACCAGAAGAGATTCCATCAATAGGAGAAATCATAGCCTTGGAACCTTTTCTTAACTGTTTACAACTTAATCATAGTTAGTTTTCAGTTACTTATTTACTGTCATTCTTAGTTAGTAGGAATACCCTCAATTGTTATTTACAACGCTTGGGAAGTTGATTTCTTAGAATTTAGTAAGTCTAACAAGAGTAATTGATAGGTTAATTCCTTGTGGGTTCGACTCTGGGCTAAATACTCAGATTATATTTGCAACATCCGCGAGTCCTTTTTATAAGGTATAGTTGGGCGTAATCACTTAAACTATCAATAATTGGCCTATTATCTAATTTACCACATGTTTTAAAACTATTATGCATTTTTAACTTTATAACCGCTTTTAATTATTTTATGGAATTATTCTGGAACAAGTTACGATTGTCGTACACTTGTTTGTTTGATACACATTGTGAACCGCGTCACATGAAATGCACCCGCGATTTACAACATGTTTATTTTAATTATTATTCGAAGTTATTATGATCGGGTCACATAAAATGTACACCCGAATTTGAGAATTTGGTATCATAAATATGTCACGGGAACCGTACCCATAGTCACGATTTGTTATTAATCGCACCTAAAGCAAGCTACAATGTTTGTGATATTTTCTATACTAGTTACGAATGATCAAAGTATTTTCCACACTAGTTTTGGTATTAATGTGAGGGTCATAGATTATGGAATTCATTTATGGATGGCACGCCTCAATTTATTTTAAAAAATTGTACTCAACTAAAGCAAACTACGGATGTTCATGATTATTTTTGATAGGTATATGAGAGCTAATCAAAGCTAATTGCTAATATATATATATATATATAAAGGACAACAAAAACAAAACACACGAAAGAAAAAGACAAAAAGAAAACTTTCCAAAAGTCTTAAGTTATTTAAGGAATTCACGTTACATAACTGATAATGGTTTGGTAAAGTGTTTCAAT